CATCGAATATAAAAAAATTATTATTCTTTATGTACCAATTATAATAAATATTTATGTATAATATTTATTAGAATTAGTATATTTATTAAAATTTATTATCATTTGTATGTATTAGCGCTTGGGCCCTCCCCAGCAGCAGCAGCCGCCGGCGCCGCCGCCGCCGCCCCCCACATATCAATCGTGTAGCTAGTATACACATAACGGTATTGCCTGTGGTAATAGTGGCTGTAACTCTAGCGGTAGAGCATCGGCCTGCGGATCCGGAGGACGCGCGTTCGATCCCCCGATCCGTCCGTTTTTTTACAGATAAATCTAAAAAATTTTAACACATGCGCGCATACACGCACACACACACACACACAATAAAAAAATCAAAACGCGTAACACAGAACGCGCGCGCAGTGCATAGGAATCAAATCAGTGGGAGAGGGGGAAGTGCAGAGAACGCACGCCACATCAAATCAAGCCACATCAGATCAACTCATTGTAAGTCGTCGATGAATAGCAATAAACTTTTTGTACCCAGGATGTTGCCTCGCAGGATAGCGCTCTTGATACAGCCGTGCAGCAGCTTTTGCGTTATAATTTGTTGCTCAATATGCCAAATGCATATCTGCAAATTTTTTATTAGTGTAATTCTCCATAATTATGCGAATTTTAAAAAATTTGCAGAATTAACTACTAAATGCACTAAACTTACAATAAAGAATTTCTTCGATCTTTCTTTACTCAGGTAAACAATGGCAAAAAGTACCTAAGATAAGGCATCAAAATTTCTCAAATGTTTTGAATTTCTCAAATTTTTCGACATTTTGAACAATTACTATAGCTAAATAAATGTAGTCGAAAATAAAATTCGAAAAAACACATTACTGTCTTAAAGCGTTAAAGGGTCGCAGCGCCTTAAGGAGACATTTTCGGACATGGGTTCTTATACTCAAACGTCTTCTATTAGTGCACTGAATATCCCCTATAAGTTTGATCCCATAGTTCTAGGACACCCTGTATATTTTCTAAACTAAAAAGACTCCAGCAGGAATCAAACAATAAACAAAAACTATTAACAGCAACGAACTTACTTATTTAATTCACAAAAGCATAATAAGATTATTGCTTGCTAAATGATAGCCGTTCAGTTGCAAGCTTAAGCTTTAGATCAATTAAAAAAAATAATATTTATTATATTTTTGTGCTAATTTGCGTATAACTTTTGTTGTAATTAATATTTTTTTAAAAATAAAATTACAAAATGTTCCTTATATGATTTACTATCAATTTGATCAGGCCTAAATACAATAGATTTTTTAATTTAAACAATTAAATTATTAATAACAAAAAAACCGACACAAGGTTGTGGGTTCGTGCTTGGAACCCTTGAAAAATCGATTCTCCGTATCAAAATATATAAAAATCAACCATGTTTTACGAGGGGAGATCGTATTGGCTACGGGAACCCCCTTGTACGCGAACTACAATGGCTTGGTTACCACTACAGTGCTCTCGCTATTAGGTAAGATTGGACAAGAATTTCTTTCGTCGCAACGATGAGCGAATTTATACTGGTAACAGAGACCCCATTTTACACTAGGTTGCTATTTTTGTAAATTTGCACAAACTTTGAACAATCTTTAACGCGAAATCGCGCACACGAAGTAAAACGTTTGTGATGTAAAAAATTGAATTCATGACACAAAGTTTCATGAAATTAATCATTTATCATGAAAAAATTGTATTACAAAGTTATAGGCAAATAAACTTAAATAAATTTTTAGGAAAAAAATTACAATAAAATCAGATGAATTTTCATACTAAAAAATAGCTTATTTTGCATAGAAACTTATTCAAGATCAAATTTGTCAATTTAATAACTAGAATTTGAATCATAATTAAATTATGAATTCGTAAATTATTTCTTTTGCAAAAATTATCTTATTTTATGTAATATATTTTAAATATTTATTTTAAGTACATAGAGGTAGATTGCTATCTCACACTGCAATTTTAAATATTGTAACGGGGTTGCTTACCGTTTAATTATTTTTATTGAGGCGATCGCGTAAATACGCTCGTAATCACCTATATCAAACAGGGAAGTCGGAGAGCAAAGAGGAACGGGTGTCAGTCAACCAACTAACTACGAATACAAAGAGAACGCTCCGAAAGTACTTGTTAATATCGTGTACGAAAACTCTTTATTATCTTTTAAATGCTACATTAGAGTCGGCCCGAGTGTTTATGTTTACATCAGCGCTCGCTCGACAATAACCTGCAGTAGCGGGACGCTCGCTGCTCTTTGTCCGTAGAGCTATTACATGCACACTTCGAGCACGGAAAATTAGATATTACGCATGCAATCGCGATCGCGAGATTAAGCTGGCCAGCTTACCTTTATTTTGCAGGCGCACGAAGATGACGGTAACAAATCGCACTGCGTGAAAACGGTCTGTTTTTATTCGTGTCGCGGGTCGCGAACTCGCGCGTACGTGGTTTCGCCCTCGATGGCGAAACCTCACACACACACTTTCGAGGTCACAGGACACAGCGCTTTTCTGCTGGCTCCGGTCTGCACTCCTGGTAGCTGCACGGCACCTCGGTAACAGCGGTCACTCAAAATCAGCTCTGGTACGGACGCTCTGTTTGCGGAATTCAATCCTGGCGGGTCATGTAGCGGTAGCTAGTATCGTATTCACGGGCGAGCGTGATGATGGTTAGTCCCTCACTGGTTCATTTTCAATCGCGCGCGTTCCGTCTGCTCGCGTGCCGAATTCCTTCGTTACATTTTTCGTCTCCCCGGTAGGTGCTGCCCCCGCAGGCAGCAATTAGGTTAGATTATTAGCGCTAATTTGACGTTTACCGTCACAATATTCAATAAATTATTAATCTTTTATTAATCATTTTCTTCAAATTTCCCATAAATGCAACATCACGCTACTTATAAGGTAATGATTTTGATCGAGTGCCCTAATACATCTAAGCGTATATGTGAAGTAGCTTCTTAGTTTTGATAGTACCTTTCCTCATTTTCGGGTGTATGGCATGCTGCCGCTATGTAGCAGAAAAAAAATCAGACTGAACCATTACAGCTGAAATATTTTTTTTTCTGCAGGAAGTGTCTTTCATGCATATAAAATGTTATTTATATTTTTGCTTAACAAAATGGAGAGTGCTAAGAATAACATAATTATTTATATTTTATACGAAGTGAAAATATTCAATATTAATAAATATATTTATAATAATAGATTTGTAGACATAAAAATATGCTTAGTTTACCTATAACAATTGTAAATACTATGTATAAAGATCGATATTTAGTCTAGGTTTATTTACTGCAAAATACTGTGTATAAATAAAAATTTTTAGTGTATAATTGTAAATAACATGGTAATATACGTATAGTACCTATCGTAAACATAATATTGAAAAGAAATTATTCGAAAGAAAATGATTGTGTCAATGGACACTAAATTATGATATCAAGTTTTTATTTATTTCCCTTCTCAAAGCTAAAAGTAACAATACAAACAAAATACCATCAGTTTTTCAACTCTCATTATACAACAGTGATATAAAAATTACATTTTTCACTATCAAAATTACATATACTCGTATATAATTATTCAACTAAGCAAGAAAGAATTGACAAATAATCAAGACAGTATGTTACGTATGATAAATAATCTTGCTTATTCGAATAATTTTATATATTGTAACGGAGAATCTGCGACTGTTTCCATCTGGGTAGCTCGCGGCGAATAAACACAACAGCGGATTAACACACCAATCCTTTAATCATCAACAATCGATCACAAGACGGCGATACTTACACCTATACACTACGAGCGGTACAATAACAAACTCGAACGCGAAGGTGAATTAGTGGCTGGTCAACCCGCCGATTCCCTTTTTAAAACAAATTATTACAATAATATCCGACAAACACTTTCTGCCGTTATTCCATCAACGGGGTAGCCAGCAGATCTGCCACGTTACCACCCATTAGCTGACGTCCAAACATGCAAGAGAGAGAGAAACAAGAGAAAATACGACACCGACCTCGGCCTTCAGCTTCTCTGACGGCTAGAACGCTCTGCAGTGTGACGTCACTGGTGCGCTCCTTCTCGCTAACCGTCTCGCTGGTGTTTGTTGTCGTCGCTGTTTGTCTTCTCCTTCGCTCTATAAATACTGCTACCACAATCAGTTGTTCCGCTCGTTGCTGCTGTCGTTGTCGCTTCTGCTGCCCTTCGGTTGCTCGGTACTGTAGCAACGTCGAAGTCCGTCCATGTGCGCAACCGCGCACCTCGCCGGTTACCACACGCACACACTCTCAGTCTAGCGCGGCGCACGGACATTTGCGACAGCCAAACGGACGAAATCGGCCTAGCCGAGATTCTCTGTTACAATAATATATATATATATATATATATATAATTTTGATGGTGAGTATTGTAATTTTTATACTACAGTTGTATAGTAAGAGTTGAAAAATTGATGGTATTTTGTTTGTATTGTTACTTTTAGCTTTGAGAACGGAGTTCAATAAAATCTCTGAAACATCGGCATCTAGGAATTTACATTATTTGAATTTATTGACTAAATGAAGATCCTGAATAAGAGAAAAAATTGATAGTTTTGAATTTCGTCGATTATTGATTATTATTTTTCTAGCATAGTGTTGGAATTATGGATCGACGTAAATTAATATAAACACCAGCTTTTAATTAAAATAGAAAGTACAAAATTATTTATTTTAATATCTATTACAATAATTGAATCTCTAAAGTTACTCTAAATACTTCGTGAGCTCTAGCACCAAAGGAGAACACGGTTGGAATGCCGCGCTAGTTTCCGCGGCGGTTGAGCTTAGTGAAGGTGGCGTAGTATGCGTACGCGCACATGCGCACAAGAAGCTTAACACTCCCTCCCTTGAGTGCATATGCGCGCAATCACGAACAATTCAATTAGACCCGTTGGTTTCCGCGTCTGTAAATAATTAGAAATTATATTGAGCATATACAATAGTTAAATATATTATCTCTAAGAGCTCTAAAAGAATCGAAAGGAAGAAGCTTTGTAAATATATCTGCTAGGTTTTCTTTAGATGGTATCCAAATCAATTTAACTTTTCCTTCAGTTACGCACTGCTTAATGTAATCTCCATGTACTTTAGATAATTTATTTTTAATTCCTGTTTTCTCTCTATTCTCTAAGTTAATGATAATTTCATCAATAGAATCATCAAAGTTCTTTAATTTATGATTTCCTTCTTTTTGTGTACAGCTGATTGAGAATTTATTATCGCATCTTATAATTATAGGATACATAATTATTCCTAATATGTCTCTAAGAGCTTTATCTAATGAAATCATTTCCTGACATGCTTCGCTCATTGCGTAATATTCCGCATGACAGGTCGAGAGATTAATTACAGTTTGTTTGTGGCTTCTCCACATAATGGAGTCTCCGAATAATCGAGCAACCATTCCACTTGTTGAGGATGAGTCTGCATTGTCTCTAAAGCTTGCATCTGTAAAAATTTCTAAGTTTTCAGTAACACCTCTATATGTTAGTCCTAGATCAGAACTTCCTCTAAGATATCTCATGATCCTTTTTACATCAATCCAATTTTCTATAGTGGCATTCGATTGTTTTCTGGCTAATAGATTTACAGCAAATGCAATGTCAGGTCTTGTGATATTAGCAAGATACATTAAGCTACCTATAGCTTCTCAATAAGGAACCTCTGATTTTCCAAGTTTTTCCGCTTTCTCTATATTATTATCATTTCTGGCTTTGACTTGTCTAGTTATCATAGGTATATTTTGTGGTTTACTTTCATCTATTTTAAATCTCTCTAGTATCTTTTCTGTATATTTGCTTTGGCTCAGCATTATTTTTTCTTTAGCTTTTCTATCTCTAGTGATTTGAATACTTAAATATTCTTTAGGTTCTCCTAATTCTTTCATTTTAAACACTGAGCTTAAGTGTCTTTTGATTTCATTAATCTTATCAGAGTTATTTCCAGCTAGAAGTATGTCATCTACATATAGAATAAGCAAGATCATTATGCCATTCTTTCTGTATGTAAATAAACAGGGCTCATTTATATCTCTTTGTAAGCCTAATTTTTCTACTTCTGTTGAGAACCTCTGATTCCATTTCTTAGAACTTATCTTCAATCCATATATAGCCTTATGTAGTTTACAAACTTTATTTTCTTTCGCGTGTTCATTTACTATTACTCCATCAGGTATCTCTATATATATTTCTTCCTCTAGTTCGCCGTTTAGGAATGCAGTTTTCACATCCAACTAACAGACTTCAAGATCTAATTTATTGATTATGGCAAATGCAGCTCTAATTATAGCAAGTCTAGATACAGGTGCATAAGTTTCTCTAAGTTCGTACTCATTAGTATCTTTAAATCCTCTAACTACTAATCTTGCTTTGAAGGTTATTTTTCCATCTGAATCAATTTTTCGTTTGAGTACCCACCTGCTATCTATTATGTTGGCTTTATTGCCTTTCTGAATTACCGTAGGTCTATCTACTATACTCCATACGTTGTTTTCATGCATGGACTCTAATTCATCGTTTATTGCTTTACTCCAGCTCATTTTATCTTCTATTTCCATAGCTTCTCTATAATTGGTTGGGTCTGAGTTTAGGGTAGCGATTAAACAAAAACCTTTTTCGTCTTCTCCCAAAACTTCAATTTCGTTACATCGGGTCAAGAACGCAAAACTGTTATCTACTAAGTTAGCCTTTCCTTCAGCCATCGCTTTATAATCTCGTTTTATTTTACTAACGCGCTTAGGTTGTACTCTAGATTGGTTCTCTGTTTCTTTATTATTTTCTGATTTTCTTTTACTAGTTTTAATTTTCTTTGTATTGTTTTCTGTAGGTTCTAATTCAGTTAATTTATCTGGTTTTTCAGAACTATTCGTATCGAATATATCTATAGTTATCTCTAGTGTATCGTTCTGGTATTCTTCGGAAGTAGAACTCGAATATTTATTATATTCTTTAGCTATCTCGTCATTTTTATCAATGTTTTTGTAAGTTAGCTTTTCTCTAAATTTTACGTGTTTAGTCAGAATTAATTTTCCGGATTAAGGGTGCCATAGTATATATCCATTGCTGGTTTGTCCTACTAAGATTCCCTTTATGGCCTTTTCCGATAATTTGGTTTCAGACAACGGTTTCTTTGCATAAGCTGTGCATCCAAAGCGTCTGATCTTTTCTAAATGACTCTTCTTGTTAAGGAATATTATATTTAAAGGAGTTTTGTACTCTATGGACGAATTTAGAGTTCTGTTATACACATGTACAGCTATTTCCAGGGCTAAGTTCCATAACGATTTCGGTAATCCAGAATCTATCATTAGAGACCTTAGTCTTTCTAATATTGTTCTGTTGAATCTTTCAGCTGTACCATTATGAGGTGGTGTGAATGGATTAGAAAAATTTGACTCTAGTTTTGCTCGTTTCATAACTTCTAAAAATTCTCCTCCTGTGAATTCTCTGGCGTTATCTGCTCTTATATAGCAAGCTCTAAGATTCTTCCCAACTAAGTTTCTCATTGTGTTTAAATAGCTTTCTAAACAATCTCCTGCTTCGAATTTGTTGACAATAGCATATGTTTTGGCCAATTTCGAGAAGTCGTCCACAAAGACTATTATGTATCTTTTCCTACCAGGATAAGTAATTGTTTTGAAGAGACCTATTATATTAGTATGAGTTAGTTGAAGTGGATGATCGGTTCTAGTTCTAACTTCTTTAAATGGTTGTTTACTCATTTTGGACATTATACAAACTTCGCAGTTTTTGATGTTTTCATTGAATTTGACATTGCTAAGTTCTTTATTTGTCTTTTGTAACTTTATTAAATAGTCATATGATGGGTGTCCCAATCTTACATGCCACAGCATCCCTTCATCTAACTCCTCTGAGTATCTTTTCTCGAGTTCGAATGACGTAAATAAATCATCCATTGGTTTCTCGTTTTTAAGGTCATCTAGTGAGTAGTTTTCAAAGTCTCTGTATTGACTAAGTATAGGTATAGATTCATTCGTAATAATCTCCCTCTCAATCTCTGAGTCTATATTTTTACTGTTTTCTATCTCTATATTTTGTGATTCTTTCGAAAAATCCTCTAATGTTATTAATCGTGCTCTACAAGAATATTTATTGTATGTTTGTTTGTCCGGGCTCTCGATTCTGTTCTTTACTTCTAATTGTATTAGCCAGTTTGGTTTCTTATAGTACCCGGTTAAAAATATAGATCCATCATTTTTATCAAATATTTTTAAGTTTTTGTCATCTAAGTATATACTAAATCCGGCGTCGACAAATTTCCTAAGGGACATTAGGTTTTCGGATATATCAGGGGCAGCTAGAACGTAAGATAGTCTAATGGTATGACCTTCTTTGTTTAAACTTTTAAGGTACAGATCTCCTTTTCCATCTATCTCGATACCAGCTGATTTATTTTTGTTCGCACTCTTAATATAGGTTCCTGAGCTTCTCTTAAAATTTCGCAGGATGAACGCTTTTATTTGTAATATGTTCCGTCCTTCCGGAATCTAGTAAGAAGGTTATCTTATTGTTTACTTTATCAATGTTATTCTTACCTTCAGTGTGTGCGACTGCAGCGTTCGCCAGTTTCTGTTTTATTTTGTCTTCGCTTGGGTAATAAGTTCTGCTTGCGCCCCGTTTATCTACTTTGCCACTGTTACGATCTCTAGAGTTTCTATTTTTGTTATCTCTATCGTTTTCGCAATAACCTTTGCCTCTTTTGTTATTACCATTACCTCTATTGAAATTTCCCCTGTTACCTCTGTATATACCTTTTTCTTTAGATTCTTTTAGCTCTTTATTATTATTTTTATTGGCAACGTACCCTCCACCTCGGTGGGATCCATCACCACGAGGGCAGGTTCTGCCCGTGTGGTGCGCGAAGTCTTTGCATATGTAGCAGAACCACAACCCATACTGGATCAGCGGGCAAGAATCCGAGATGTGATCAACATTGTGTCGATCACATCTGAAACACTTGCCTCCACCGCTGGGACCAGTACCGGCTGTGGCCGCTGCGCCAGTCCTTGCAACACTGGCAGAGGCTCCCTCCGAGACGCCAGAGCTCCTTAAGTCAGCTTCCAGCTGTCGAATGAAATTTTTCATTTCTTCTATATTCATTCCTCTGCCATTTGTTTGTTTAGTGATTATTTCCATTTCTCTAATTCGGGGGTACGTGTCTTTCACAGCTTTCATAAACGCAGACGTTTTCTCCGCGTCAGTGAGAGGAATGGCTGTATCACAGAGTTCATACTCTCTAATAATGGAGTCAAATTTATCCAAGAACACTGAAACTTTATCTTTCTTATTGATCTTAATGCTGTACAGTTCTTCCCTCACTTTAGCATCATCTGTGTTTGCCTCTATTCTTCTATGTTCTCTAATCTTTGCTAATATTTCTTTGGGGTCATTAATATTGAGAATTATCTTGTGATAGTTCTCATCTAAATAATTGATTATAATATCTCTAACCAGTCTATTTCTTTTATCAATTTCATCAACATCAAAAATTCTTTTAGGTCTAGTGTTTGAATCTATCACATCTAATAATTCTTTTGCTGATAGTTCTGAGTTTAACCGATCTAACCATACATTGACATTAGCTTTTGATGTGAGGGTATAATCCCTTTTGAAGGATGCTTTAGACGTAGAATTAGTACTCTCTATTGTTTTCAAAGAGTGCTCCAAAGGTTTGATTTAGTTGACTGCTGATGTCGCTGGTAAGATTATTTTGGTTAACCTCAGTATATGTAATTTCAGGGTTGATTTCGTTTTCTCTAGCAGTTATATCAGGGGCTCTAGTGTTATTGGAGGTTATATTGTTTTCAGGGTTTAAAATTCTGTCAATGGAGAATGGATGATTCCTATCATTTTGAAGTGGCGAAGAGGTTATCACGCTAGTGTTAGTATTTGCATTTTTATGGTTCGACCCTACCTCGAGTCTTCTTATCTCGAGTCGCTTTGACTCGAGAGAAGCATCTAGGATTATCCTGGCTTGCTTTATTGCCTCATTAATTTGGGGCCATACTTTGGCCTGAAGTTCCGCCACTTTCTCCACAGACTCCATAATATGCTCGAGGCGTGTGGTGTAAGCGGTGTTCAGGTCTTCCCTGGGTGGTGTGTTCACTGCTCCAGATCTCTGGGGGGGGGGGGCCTAAGAGGCACTATCATGCGGGGGTTTCTTGCCCTCGCATTGTTGGCAGCTGTGTGACGATTAGGACCTAAAGGCACGACGAATACGGGGCCCCGGTCGTCCGTAGCAGTATCGGGTGCGGATGACGAGACACTGGATATTGTAGTCTCGCTGGCCATAGTTGAAGGTGCTAAGGAACAATATCTCTATATAAACATTCGGTGCTTAGCTCTGATTTGTTAAAAGAAAAACTCTGATTAGTCGCGGATCCGCACTCTATTTCTCTATGATTGTTCGATAGCTGTTCTAAAACTCTCAACGTATAGTATTTGTTAATTTTTATATACCGGTATCATCCGCCCCTGACTCTTGATCGACGACGCGGTCCCTTTCCATTGCCGCCCCCCATCTCCCGATTAGCCTCGCTGTTCATCTAAAATAAAATGACCGAATGTTTCGTCTAATTGTTTGTAAAAAGCTGGCTATCAATAGGTTTCTTCC